CTCTCTCTCTCTCTCTCTCTCTCTCTCTCTCTCTCTCTCTCTCTCTCTCTCTCTCTCTCTCTCGCTCGTCTGCTAACAGCTAATGTTTGGTTAGGGTTTGCTGAAGAAACCAAAATTCACAAGATGAGGAGATCGACTGCGATTGCGACAAAGGCGAAGGGTATTATTGTCCATGGTAGAGGTAACTCTGACATTGCTCCTCTATCCTTTATCTTCTGTTGGAGGAAACGAGGTTTCTCTGCTCTCAGTGATGATTACAGAGAGAAATTGAGAAATGGTCTTAGTGATATTAAGTTAGTGGATGCGGTTGGCTTGTTCAGTGAGATGGTAAAGTCTCGTCCTTTGCCTTCCATTATTGAGTTCGGTAAACTGTTGACTGCAATTGCCAAGATGAAGAAGTATGATGTTGCCATCTCTTTGGGTGAGAAGATGCAGAAGTTAGGGATTTCACATAATATCTATACATACAATATTTTGATAAACTGTTTCTGCCGCTCCTCTCAACTCCCTCTGGCTTTAGCTATGCTTGGTAAGATGATTAAACTTGGTTATGAGCCTGATACCGTCACGCTGAATTCTGTTCTAAATGGATACTGCTGCTGTAATAATATCTCAGAGGCTGTAGCTTTGGTTGATCAAATGGTGGAAATGGGATATCAACCTGATACCATCACCTTCAACACTCTAATCCATGGCCTCTTTCTCAACAACAAAGGTTCCGAAGCTGTGTCTTTGGTTGATAGAATGGTCGGGAAAGGATGTCAACCAGATCTAGTTACTTATGGTGCTGTTGTAAATGGAGTGTGTAAGAGAGGTAATATTTATTTGGCTTTAGATCTGCTCAAGAAGATGGAAAAGGGGAACATTGAGGTGAATTTTGCGATCTACAATACAGTCATTGATGGTCTTTGCAAATACAAACATGTCGATGATGCTCTCAACATGTTCAACGAAATGGAGAACAAAGGAGTTAGAGGAAATGTTGTTACTTACAACTCCCTCATTAGCTGTCTTTGTTGTTATGGAAGATGGAGTGATGCATCTCAACTACTAAGCGATATGATTGAGAGGAAAATCAACCCCGATGTTGTTACTTTTAGTGCACTGATCGATGGATTTGCGAAAGAAGGGAAGCTTTTAGAGGCTGAAGACTTGTACAATGAGATGATCAGAAGGTCTATCAAACCTAACACTATCACATATAATTCACTGATCAATGGGTTTTGCATGCGCAATCGCATAGACGAGGCCAAGGAGATGTTTGATCTGATGATTAGCAAGGATTGTTACCCAGATGTAGTCACTTGTAATACTCTCATAAATGGATATTGTAAGTCTAAAAGAGTAGAAGATGGCATGAAACTCTTTGGCGAAATGTCCCAACGAGGATTGGTTGGGGACACCATCACTTACACCATTCTTATCCAAGGCTTTTTCCAATCTGGGGACAGTGAGAATGCTCAAGAAATTTTCAAACAGATGGTTTCTTGTTGTGTGCCTCCCAGTATTTGGACCTATAACATTTTGTTAGATGGGTTTTGTGATAATGGGAAGCTAGAAAAAGCATTGGTCATATTCAAGGATATGCAAAATAGTGAAATGGAACTTGATGTCCTCACATATAATATAATCATTGGCGAGTTGTGCAAAGTTGGTAAAGTGGAAGAAGCCTGGGAATTATTTTGTAGCCTTGGTCTCGAAGGAGTGAAGCCTAATGTTAAAACGTACACTATAATGATCTCAGGATTCTGTGTGAAACGTCTACTGCAGGAAGCAGATGACTTATTTAGAAAAATGAAAGAAGACGGGCCTCTTCCAGATAGTGGTACCTATAATGCCCTAATCAGAGCACATCTAAGGGATGGTGACACTTTTGTATCAGCAGAACTCATCAAAGAAATGAGAGGTTGTGGGTTTGAAGGAGATGCTTCAACCTTTGGTTTGGTTACTAATATGTTATATGATGGGAGATTGAGCAAAAGCTTCCTCGATATGATTTCTTAACCCTTGAGAGAAGAGTTGTGAGGTAAATCAATTTGTCTGCTTCTATTCTGGTGAGAAACGTCTCGGTTGCTGATATGAGAGAGAAGAGCTCCACTTATTGACGCAAGATCAGTTAACAAATGAAGCAAGAGAAGCTCTTATAATTTACAGATTCCAAAGAATGTTGTTATAAGTTTTAATCTTTTAATCATGTTTCTTTGTGACTTGGTTGCTTTGACGTAACATGGAAATAGGATTCCCATCTGTTCATTACGAATATCAGATTTAGATGGTTTTTAATATCAAAGTAGGATTTTGGGGGTAGTAGTTGATTATTGCCAATAACTTATTGAGCACTTTAAGGTTTTGGGATGGTCTGCAGAGGTTTTATTTGCAGTGGCATTAATCTGCTATTGTTGGTCGCTTTGTAGATGGGAATTAGGATGCCGAATACCAAGAAATGGGTAGTAAGTGAAAGAAAATTGTGGCTGACTGGTCAGTTTCAGTAACGCATGTGAAAACCTAAAGTGCATTGAGATTAATATGATTGCTGCAAGCATTTGAAACTCCATTGTGCCATCCTTCATTTCTCATAACTAGAATCTCAGTTGGTTTGGAATTTGTGAACCTGTCTTTTGTTTCTGCGTGGCTGTGATTTTGTTCTCTTCGTGGTGTTTAGATTGACAATGCAGATCCATGTGATTTCATGGTAGCAGAGAGAGTTGGATAATCCAACCATTATCTGAATAAGAAAGTCTCAGTTTTTTGTTGTGGGTAGGGTAGCAATAACTTTTATCACAATCAGAACTAGAGCAGTCTTAAATAGCGACATAGCTGGTTAGAGTGGTGAAAAGTTTAAACTTTCTATGTGTCTAGTTCAAGTTTTATATCTGAAAAAGGGAAATGTCAGTAAATTGGTGTGTTGTTTCTTTTTTGGTTGAATATTGACGTTGCTGAAGTTCTGTTTTGTCTATTTGAAATCCAGGGTCTGTCCTTTTGCTTGTCTAAATCATCAGTAGTGATCTTAACTCCATTGGTTGTGTTCCTTAACGTTCTCTATTTAATTTGGCTATGTCAAATCATTCATTCCAGAAATTTGCTGTGTGTTTTCAGGTTGTGACAAGGAAGCTTATGCGTTTTCAGGTTGTGACAAGGAAGCTTATGCCCTGATATCCAAGAATATTAAACATTGGTTCCAAACCTGATCTGATCTGCGATTATTGCTGAGGAAGAAACGTGTTTCTTGAGAAAGCACTCAACTTCAAGTTCATCTGAGACATATATTTATGGAACCAAAAGTGTAGGAAAAGCTGCAGAATTATCACATAGCTAGCCCTCATCAAAAGTTTCTGATTGTTCCCACAACCCTTTGATTCTGTTCTTGCCAAAGAAACGAATTAAAAGCTTATTCTTGCTTGTAAACCGGTATTTAGTATCTATTGTCATACTGTGACAAAGTCAAGAAATGAGTTTCTCTAGAGAAAGCAGTAAATTCCAAGTTCATCTTATGGAACCAAAAGTGGAGGAAAAAAGCTGCAGATTGTCATAGTATCAAAAAGTTTCTGATTGGTCTCTCAAGGCTTTGATTCTGTTATTGCCAAATAAAGGAACTAAAGGCTTTACTCTTGCTTGTAAACCGGTATTTAGTTAGTATTGGTTGTCATACTTTTATAAAGTGAAGAACTAAAATTATCCATTTTTTTTATCTTGTGTAATTCCCTGATGAATAATTAGGTATTTATCCATTTTATTTTGGTTCTGGAAATGGTTAGTTACCTAAGGGTTGAGTAAAACTGGGGATGAGGTTGATTCTGGCCAAGGTTTATCCCAAGTGAACCAACTTTTATTAACACACAAATGGATATCTGCCGTCAAGAGTTTGGCTGCTTGAGACTTTGGTCAGTGTAAAATCAATTTGAACCGATCATCTTACCAACCGAATTGATCCGGACATTGGTCGATTCATATTCCTCTCGCCAAGATGATGAATCATCCCGAAGCAGCTTTCCGAGGAGAGACTTTGAAGCTTCAGAGTGGGTTTCATGAAATCAAAGGCTTAGATGATGTGACAGAACTGTTCGACGAAATGATTAGTTCTCGTCCCTTACCCTCTGTGATCGATTTCTGCAAATTGATGGGTGTGGTGGTGAGGATGGGAAGGTCAGATGTTGTGATTTCTCTCCATAAGAAGATGGAAATGCGAAGGATTCCATGTAACATCTACAGCTTCACCATTTTGATAAAGTGTTTCTGCAGCTGCTCTGAACTCCCCTTTGCTTTGTCTACGTTTGGAAAGATCACTAAGCTTGGGTTTCATCCCAGTGTTGTTACGTTTAGCACGCTGCTCCATGGATTATGTATGGAAGATAGGGTTTCTGAAGCCTTGGCTTTCTTTTATCAAATGCCATGTAGTCCCAATGTCATAACATTTACCACGCTGATGAACGGTCTTTGCCGCGAGGGTCGAGTTGTCGATGCCGTAGCTCTGATTGATCAGATGATGGCAAATGGTCTCCAGCCTAACCAGATTACTTATGGAACAGTTGTAAACGGACTGTGTAAGATGGGAGACACCGTGTCAGCCTTGAACCTGCTTAAGAAGATGGATATGAGCCCCATCAAAGCAGGTGTTGTAATCTACAGTTCCATCATCGATCGCCTTTGGAAAGATGGACGCCATAGCGATGCTCAAAATATTTTCAGGGAAATGCAAGACAAAGGCATCTTTCCAAATATATTTACCTACAACTCTATGATAGTTGGTTTTTGTAGCTCTGGTAGATGGAGCGATGCCGAGCTGTTGTTGCAAGAAATGTTGGAAAGGGAGATCAGCCCTGGTGTTGTAACTTTCAGTGCATTGATCAATGCATTGGTCAGGGAAGGCAGGTTCTCTGAGGCTGAAGACTTATACAATGAGATGCTTCCAAGGGGTAGAATCCCTTGTACAATCACATATAATTCAATGATCCATGGATTTTGCAAACAGAATCGTCTTGATGCTGCGGAGCAAATGTTTGAATTGATGGCTACCAAAGGCTGCTCTCCTGACGTATTCACTTTCAATACTCTTCTAGACAGATACTGTGAGGCTAAGAGGGTAGATGATGGAATGGAACTTCTCCATCAGATGTCTAGAAGAGGATTAGTTGCTGATACAATTACTTACAACACTCTTATTCACGGGTTCTGTTAGGTGGGCGATCTTAATGCTGCACAAGACCTGTTACAGGAGATGATTTCTAGTGGTGTGTGCCCTAATATCATTACTTGTAAAACGTTGCTGCACGGTCTCTGCAATAATGGGAAACCAGAAAAGGCGTTCAGAATGTTTAAGGTGATACAGAAGAGTAATATTGATCTGGATACTACTATTTATAACACCATCATCCATGGAATGTGCATGGCTAGTAAGTCGGAACAAGCATGGAGTTTATTCACTAATCTCCTCCACAGCGGTTTGCAACCTGATATTCAAACTTATAATATATTGATCAACGTGTTCGTCAAAGTGGGAAAGTTTATAGGGGCTGAAAAGTTATATGCGGAGATGCCCCACAGAAGTATAGTCCCAGATACTTTCACCTATACCTCAATGATCGATGGACTCTGCAAGCAGAACCGCTTGAAATGAAGCAAAACTTTTCTTTGATTCGATGGCTAGTAAAGGCTGCAATCCGGACGTAGTGAAATTTAACACACTCATTAATGGCTACTGTAAGGCTGAAAAGGTTTACGATGGGATGGAGCTTGCCTGCGAGATGTACCGACGAGGGATAGTTGCTGATGCAATCACTTACTACACTTTGATTCATGGTTTTCGGAAAGTGGGTAATAATAATGGTTCTTTAGACATTTTCCAGGAGATGATTTCAAGTGGTGTATGTCCTGATACCATTACTATCCGTAGTATGCTTACTGGTTTATGGAGTAAAGAGGAACTAAAAAGGGCAGTGGCAGTGCTTGAGGATCTGCATAAGAGTATGGTATGAATTTGACAAACGCACCGTTTTCGGTTCAAACAGTTGGTGCAAAAAGGAGGGACCAAGGAAAATAATGTTCAAAAACATATCAAACTTGGGAAGAACCATAGATCTTGCAAGAAAAAAAAAACAAGAGTCAAGATCGACTCTTCCCTCTACTAATCATCTCGTCCTCATAATTCCTCTCAGCTTTATCCCGACGAGGGAGCCACATATTAACGATGAAGACGTGCTCCAAATCGTCAAAAAGATCTTTCTTGCGGGACTTTGATCAAACACTTGGTGGGAAAATAATACGAAGGAACGATGGCTGTTCCTGTTCGAAATCCTCTGTATGCTCGTCTTGTTTCTTACGGTGGGCGCTCGTCACAAACGTCTACTCAGCAACAAACAAAGTGAAGCTGCTCTATGAACGGCGTTTAAGCAAACCTCCGTCAAGTAAGATCTGAGCAACTTTCTACGTAGCTGGAAATGCATATCGATGATACATGTCCTTGGTGAGGCATCTTCTGCGCTAAAGATGAGTTATCAAACCTCCGGAGACCTCTCGAGTAATTCCTTCTCCGATGCAACACCTTCATCTATCTTTCAACTTCTCGTCTTCTCCCGTCTCCCGTCTCCGTCTCTGCAGTAACCTCACCTTCTTCAGTTTGACTATGAGAATCAAGACGCTTCAGTGAAACTGTACTAGCAATCTCTACTAGTTCATAACCTCCTAAATGGTTGTAAGAAGTTGGTCGAGTTCCAGAGATTGACGGATATCCTCCTAGACTCATCAATAATGCGCTTCTTTAAGCTCCATCAACACCGAGGAGCCCAAGTTCGACTTCACAAATAAAGCTCCGGTCTTGTCTTGTAATGTGAAGGATAAAATGGTTTGGCCTTATCAACTTGCCGTAGGCACAAGCTTCTTTCCAGACAAGAGTTCGCCACAACCAACAGTTTGACCTTATTTGGCTCAAACCCAAGTTTCAGCATCTTCCCAAGAAGAGACAGAGCGAGAGAGAGCTGAGAGGAACTACAGAAACGGTTGATCAACACAGTGATCCATTTTGGGTTGTGCAAAGTTCAAGACCAGATCACGGCAATGGCCACCACCAGCACATTGCGTTATCCCCTACGAGCATCACCATCAAGTTTATCAGCTCTGATAACTACTCTGTTGCTTATAAAGATTGCAACAAAACTCAAGGATCGATCTTGGCAGAGCTCACGAGCTTGATCTCGTCGAATGCTATCTACGTGATTGAGAGTTCTCTGCATAATTTCATCAAGCTTTTACTTCTACGTCAAGAGAGCTCTCACCACAAGCTGACCACCACCGCACAAGCTTCCTGTGAATATATTGTAGAGACATCCTGTTGTCTCCTTCACCACAAGCTGATTTTACTGAAACGGTTCTTGACAAGACACTTCCTCGGCATAGTACTGAGTTATGATCTCGGCAATGGAGATGAGAAGAGTATGATTCTTCATGTATCCTCGGCAAAAACTTCCTAAGAAGTCACCACTCGTTGCTCCCTGCAACTCGACAAAACTCAGCAAATTATTGGGCTGCTTCTGCTTCTTACGGTGAGAAGGAAATAAAGAAACTCTCAACAATTTGTCTTGGCGTAATCTTGCCACTAGCTTCTGAATCAATGACGAAAATCCTATCACACTTTATTTAAAGCTGTTGATTCTATTTGCCGGCTTGTTCTGTAATATGCAAAGCTCATCACCATCTCAAGAAAGTTGAGGACTTTCATCCGCAGGAGACTACCAACGGAGCTTGGCTTCTCCGATCAAGCTCAGCCTCCCTTCTCAGATGTCTAAAATGAAGCCATTCGGGAGAAACGGCGAGAAGGGACTGCGAAGAGACGTGGAAGAAGAGCTCAGACGTGCCTCTCCTTCCGTACAAGAGACGGCTCCTCATTTTCGACTGCTCCAAGCTCTGATTCAAGCTCCAAAAGGAACATAAGAAAATAGAGGACATGACCAGAGCTTGAATCAGAGCTTGGAGAAAATAAATGATTTATGTATAAGAAAATAAACTTATATAGAACAAAAACTAAATATATAAAATAACTATAAAATGGAGAAAATAAATGATTTATGTATTGGATTTAAATAGTTTTTGAATATTTTTCTTACTTTTATGATAAAAAAGGTTAACAAAAAATAAAAAATAAATTACATTAGTTATAAAATTTATAAGCATGTGCTACTAATAAGAACAACAAAAACAAAAACAAAAACAAAAACAAATACTGAAGATTAATTATTTTCAATTACAAACAAAAATTTTAAATAAGTTGAATTTAAAATATAATTTTCGTGGTTTTTAATTTGCTGGGCTTAACTCTAGTATTATTGAAAGATATTATCGTGTGATTAGAGAGATTTATTGTATTACTGACATAATTAGTATTTATATCATGATTCTCTGTATTAATTGTGAATCTCATGAATGTTGTATATATATTACCAAGCCTTTGCTAACGGAATTGCACTACACATTTTCCTCATTCTAAAAAAGCCCTTTCTCAAAAAAAAAACATTTTACTCATTCTATAAGAAATGGAGAAGAAAATTTCCTATGTATTATTTGTCACCTTTTTTATCATATCTGCGTTAGGTATATTACATCTTCTTTTTTTTCTTTTGCTTTGGGTATAATATACCTTCTACAATTTTAAATGTTCTTACTATGATTTCAATTAACATACTTTATTCAGTATCTTATAAGCTTTTCACTGTGCACACGTTCGCCTTAATTGTATTTTTTGTTCTTGTTATGTCTAATAACTCCTGAACATTTTTTAAAAAAAAACAAGCTATGTTTATACAAATATTTATGCTTTGTCTGAATGTGTTATTACAGTTATGATTGAGGCACAAGGGAATTTGTGCAGAGATGGTCTAGGCACTTGTGAAGATTGCGACCAGAAATGTAAAACTAAGTACGGACCATCAGGCCAAGGCAACTGCGACCGTAGTGTTGGAGTGGCATTGTGCACGTGCTTTTACCCATGTTCGCCTCCTTCGCCCCCTTCAACCGCCCACTTGCAACAGTGGAACTACTCTATGCACTGATCAGTGTTCAGACAGTTGTTGTAACACAAACTGCGCAAACTCGCATGAAGGTGGACGTGGAATTTGTAATTCCATCGGCAATACTCGTCTTTGTTTGTGTCAGTACCCTTGCTAGAACAGATTATTATAGATATGCATTATGTTTCCTTAAATAATTTTATTGTTTCCTTTACAAAATTTAAGAAATTAATAAAATATTGTTGTAAACCAAGATGAAATCTGTGTGTTCTTATTGCTTATGAGGTTCCATATATATATATAGGTTACAAGAATAAGATAAATGAAAAACATCCAATTCCTAAACTAACAAGGAATTGAAAATACACATAAATGGTAAAGTACATGGCCGCCTATAATACTAATGGGTCACGACCATGGGCTACTCTTGGGTCTTGTATATTGGTTATGGCTCATCCACATAATTGTCCATAATACTCCCCCTTAGATGGCATAACCGTATGGGCTTGCACCATGCTTAATGTTGTCTCGTTAAAATCTTCTCTAGGAAAACCAAAAACCTAAGGTGGGAAAAATGGAAACTTAGACAAGGAAAAAGAATACAACACATGATACTCCCCCTGATGAATGCAACACTGAAAACGGCTCAGTTGACGCATCCCAATCTGGTACACGAACTTCTTGAATGTTGACGTTGGTAAGGACTTGGTGAACATGTCGGCTAGGTTGTTGCTGGACTGGACTTGGACCACTCAAACTTCATTGGCCTTCTGGAGGTCGTGGGTGAAGAAAAACTTTGGCAAGACATGCTTCGTTCTGTCTCCTTTGATGTACCCTTCCTTGAGCTGATGTATGCAAGCTGCATTGTCTTCATAGATCACTGTTGGCTCGTCCTTCCCAATGCTCAAACCACTACTCACTCGGATGTGGTTGGTCATGTTCCTCAACCATACAAGTTCAGTACTTGCCTCGTACATGGCTATGATCTCGGCATGGTTGGAAGATGTGGCCACAAGCGTCTGCTTCTTTGATCGCCAACATACAGCTGCACCACCATGTATATAAATGTATCCGGTCTGAGATCTAGCCTGGTGCGGGTCAGATAAGTACCCGGCATCCGTGTACCCGACCAAACTCTCCTCTGGTCGATACGTATAATACAAACCAAGGTCCTTTGTTCCTTGCAAGTATCTGAACAAGTGTTTCACTCCGTTCCAGTGCCTTAAAGTCGGACAGAAGCTAAATCTAGCAAGTAGATTCACAGTAAAACAAATGTCTGGTCTAGTGTGGCTAGCCAAGTACATTAAAGCTCCAATGGCACTTAGGTAAGGCACTTCTGGACCCAATACGTCCTCATCCTTTTCCTTTGGTCGAACGGATCAGTCTTCAGGTCTAAGGACCTCACGACCATAGGATTAGACAATGGATGAGTCTGGTCCATATTAAACTTCTTGAGTATATTTTCTGTATATGTTTTCTGATGCACAAGAATACCATCTTTTACATACTCAAGCTGCAAACCCAAACAAAACTTGGTCTTACCAAGATCTTTCATCTCAAATTCTTTCTTCAAATACTCAATTGTTTGGGTAATCTCTCCAGGGGTTCCAAGTATATTCAGGTCGTCCACATAAACTGATATAATGACAAAACCTTTGTTGTCAAACTTCTTTATAAAAATACATGGACTTATTGGATCATTCTTATAGCCCTCTTTGACTAGGTACTCGGATAACCTGTTGTACCACATAAGACCTGATTGCTTTAAACCATATAAAGCCTTATTCAATCTTATGCAATGTTGTTCTCGAGAACACTTCTTATCTTTGAGCTCAATACCCTCTAGAACTTTCATGTAAATCTCATTATCCAGTGGACCATAAAGGTATGATGTAACTACATCCATTAGGCGCAAATCCAAGCCTTCTTCACAGCCAGACTAATCAAATATCTCAATCTAGTTGCATCCACCACAGGGGAATAAGTTTCCTCATAATCTATTTCAGGTCTTTGTGGGAATCCTTGTGCAACAAGCCGTACTTTATATCTCACAACTTCTCCATTCTCATTCCTCTTCCTTACAAAGACCCACTTGTGTCCAACTGGTTTGACATCTCTAGGTGTCTTAATAATAGGGCCAAAAACGCCTATCTTTCTTAATGAATTCAACTCCACGTTTATGGCTTCTTTCCATTTGATCCAATCTGATCTCTGCATGCATTCATACATAGACGTGGGTTCTAGATCCTCATGTGTTTCCATGATCTCAAGTGCTACACTGTATGCAAATATGTCATCGAGCTCGATTTCTCTTCGATTCCATTTTGTTCCAGACATGACATAGTTTATTGAGATCTCATCATTTTCATAACCATGTGCACTATGAGGTTCAGCGTCCCGAACCATGTTTATAGGCAACATCGGCCTGTCTGGCCCACTAGGCCCGTCCGACCCTTCAGGCCCATACGGCATGCCTAGCCCAGGTGGTTTACTTGGCCCATGCGGCCCGCCTGGCTCACATGGTGTACTCGGCACGGATGGCCTACACGGCCCATACGGCTCTCCAGGATCACCTGGTGTGCATGGCCCAAACGGCCCACTCGGCCCGACTGGCCCAATTGGCCCATCCGGCCTTATCGGCCCGACCAATCTGGTCGGTTCTGGCATGGCCATATTATGGACGGTTTCATGCAAGCTCTCTGGTCCAGCACCTTTATTGGACTTCCGAGGTTGCTTATCTTTGGAACCAATAGGTCTACCACGTTTCAAACGTTGCTTAGACTCTGTAGCAACTTGGACCTGTCTTGCTGGGACATCTAATCTGATAGGTGCATTACAAGCTGGTATGTGTGACTTAGTCACTCTGTTCGGGTCAGCAAATGAATCTGGCAATCTATTAGCTAGCTCTTGTAGATGTATAATCTTTTGGACCTCAAGATCACAATCTTTAGTCCAAGGATCTTGCCAAGATATAGATGGTCTCGACCACTCTATCTCTTTCACCAACCGGCTGTTATCTCCCCCTAAGGACGGATATGTTGACTCATCAAAATAGGAGTCTGCGTATCTGGCCTTAAACAAATCATCGGTTGTTGGCTCAAGATACTTAATGATGGTCGGAGAATCATATCCTACATATATTCCCATCCTTCTCTGTGGTCCCATCTTTGTTCTCTGTGGTGGAGCAATAGTCACATAAACGGCACATCCAAACGTTTTTATATGGGACACGTCTGGCTCATGACCCGTAAGTAACTGGGATGGAGAATATTTGTGCTCACTAGATGGCCTGATGCGGATCAGTTCAGCTGCATGTAATACGTCATGTCCCCAAGCTGATACCGGGAGCTTCGACCGCATAAGTAATGGTCCGGCTATCAGCTGTATACGTTTAATGAAAGACTCGGCCAAGCCATTCTGTGTATGTACATGTGCCACGGAATGTTCCACACTTATTCCCATGGACATACAGTAGTCATTAAACGCCTGGGATGTAAACTCACCAGCATTGTCTAGACGTATAGTCTTTAAAGGAAAATCTGGAAAGTGTGCTCTCAATCTAATGATCTGAGCTAGCAATCTTGCAAAGGCCATATTCCGTGTGGATAACAAGCATACATACGACCATCTGGTCGATGCATCTATTAGGACCATGAAATATCTGAATGTCCCACAAGGTGGGTGTATGGGTCCACATATATCTCCCTGAATCCTTTCCAGAAAACTTAAAACTTCCTTAGTAACTTTGACTGGTGATGGCCTGGTTATGAGTTTCCCTTGTGAACATGCTTCACATGTGAGATTCTTTGGGACAACTCCTTTGAACGTGTGCCCTTTAGAGTTCAAGATCATTTTCCGCATCATGTTAGTACCAGGGTGGCCAAACCGGTTGTGCCATAGTGTAAAGGTCTCGCACGCATTATCCTCGACCATACTGATCTTTGCAAGGTATAGACCAGTATATATTGCAGGTATTGTCTCTAATACTTTCTTAATGCCATTGGTGATTGAAAATATATTAAGGAAATCTTTCATTCCTTCTTCTCATGTTTCAAGTTGTAAACCATTCAACCTTATGTCCTTGAAACTCAATAGGCTCCGTTTAGAGCTGGGGGAATACAAGGCATGTTTAATCTCAAGATGAGTGCCTTTAGGCATCAAGACATATGCCTGGCCGTAGCCCTCAAGGAGATTGGCCACGCCTGCAATAGTGTGTATATTGGCACTTTGCAATGTGAGATTCACAAAATACTGTTTGTCTTTAAGTATAGTATGGATAGAACCACTATCCACCACAAGTGTACTCATCTCATCACTCATCATACTATACATAAGAATTTATAAACTCAGAAAATTATAAATAAAAATCTCATATTATAAACTAAAACACCAAAATCCATAACAAGCATTCAAGCAAACATTCAAGCAAATATTCTTAAAATCAAAAACCAATAAAATAAACTCAGAAAATTATAAATAAAAATCTCATATTATAAACTAAAACACCAAAATCCATAACAAGCATTCAAGCAAACATTCAAGCAAATATTCTTAAAATAAAACACCAATAAAATAAACTCAGAAAATTATAAATAAAAATCTCATATTATAAACTAAAACACCAAAATCCATAACAAGCATTCAAGCAAACATTCAAGCAAATATTCTTAAAATAAAACACCAATAAAATAAATATTAAAAACTAAATGTCAATCTGATTAGTCCTTTAGACAATCAGCAGTCTCATAATCCATATTACTTCTTCCATGCTCATCATCATTATCAGCCTCATAACCAGAATCATAGACCATATGGGCCTCCGGATTTTGATTCTTCATCTTCTCTTGATAAAGCTCAATTAGATGCTTAGGAGTTCTGCATTGCTTCTGGAAGTGTCCAGTGCTACCACATCTGTGACAAGCGGATTTGGTCGAGTAAGACGGCTTGCTTGTGCCGCCTCGACCCCAGCCACTACTTTGGCCTCTCCCACGGCCGTAGCTGGAACCACGACCACGGTTATTGTGGTTTCCAGACCTATGGTCGTATGGGTGATTGTCACGAACATTACGCCCCTTGTACCCACCACGACCACAGCCGTGTGGTCTCCTATCATTGTGGGCGTAATTGGACTCCTTGGTCACATCATGCTCGACCTTATGAGCTTCAGGTACGGGTGCTGATCCTGCAGGCCTTAAAGCATTATTTCTCATCAGTAACTCACTGTTGGCCTCAGCCAAGAGGAGGACCGCTATCAGGTCATCATATGTGGGGAACTCCCTCGTCCTATACTGATGTTGCAACACAGCATTCGAGGAGTGAATTGTGGAGTAGGTCTTATCAAGCATATCTGCCTCGGTTATCTCCTCCCCACAAAGTCTCAACAATGAGACTATTCTGAACAATGCATAATTGTACTCGTCCACAGACTTGTAGTCCATGAACCTCAGGTTCTTCCATTCATCTCGAGCCTTTGGGAGTAACACCGTTTTCTGGTGATCATAACGTCGCTGTAAAGCGTCCCAAAGCTCAAGTGGATTAACCATAGTGAGGTACTGGTTCTTAAGCCCTTCCACAAGGTGGTGGCGTATGATGAGAATTGCCTTGTACCGATTTTTATCCGTTTCATTGTTGCCTTTGATGATAGCCTCACCAAGGCCCTTAGAGCTCAGATTGATCTTAGTATCAAGAGCCCACTGCAGGTAATTGTCTCCAGAGAGACTGAGAGCAGTGTAGTCAAGGTTTGCAAGCTTAGACATCTGAATCACATAACCACACAAAATTAGGGTTTTATAAATATTGTGATTCTCTTGATTACATTACAACCACAAACCAAACCATACTTGTAACTACAATGACCATGGTGTGGACAAACGAAAGACACACCCTCTATGGTCACCCAAAACTCATATGGCTCAATTTTGGTCGGAATGGGTGAGATGACATTTAAAACTATATGCTGGTCTGTTTTAAACAAGATGAATGCAGCAATATTCATTCAATCATATGATGCATAAAACCAAACAATTAATCAAAATCAATCACTCAATTCTCCCCCTGATTTTATTAATTGTGGTAATTAGGGTTTCAATGCCCTTTGGTCGGATTTAAAACCTCAAACAAATTAGGGTTCATCATCAACAGGCGGTCAGCAATAAAAACATGCAACCAACCTTTTAAAATTCTAAAACTCGTCAATTCTTAAAACTCAGATTCTAGTTCTTTCATGCTAGCAATCGTAAACAATCATGTTTTGATCTTATAAGGTTTCAAGGCCTTAAGAGTTTAGATTCTCAAATTTTAATAAAAACAATCAATCTAACAATCTTAAACCTCAAACAATCAAAACAAGCAAGCATGAACAATATTAAATCTGATTTTAGGGTTTAGGATTACAATTCCAAACTTAGGGTTTCAGATTCTCAGATGTGATCACACAAACAATCAAATAATATTAATGTGGAATTGATTTCAAGATGAGAGTTAGAAAGAGATCAAAATTCTAGTTCATTCAATTTTTAGGGTTTAGCAACGACAATCTTAAAACTCTATGGTGATTGTTTCTAAGTCCTCAGATTAATGTGTATACCTTTTCTTTTGCAGATTAAAAGAACCGGACCACCAAGATTAGGAGAGTAGATCGCGAACGGAGCAGCTACACAACACCAGGTCGCCTAGGGTTCTTGGTCGGAGAAAAGGAAATTCTTGGGCGGCTGGGACGGCTTGATCTGCTATCGGCTAGGGCTTCCACCGGTGGCCGAGGGAGAAAAGGAAAATCGGGTGAGGCTGGTCGCTAGGTCTAGTCGGAAAAAAAAAAAAAAGGAAATTCCGGCTAGGTTTTTGGGCGAGTAAAAAGGAAAAAGCTGGGCGGCTGGCCGGAGGAGAGAGAAGCTGATCGCCGGCTAGGTTTAGGGTTTTGGTTTTCTTGTCAGATTTCTTTGCTTAGATTATCAGAGCAATTCGTGCTGATAACGTGTTGTAAACCAAGATGAAATATGTGTGTTTTTATTGCTTATGAGGTTTTATATATATATGGGTTACAAGAATAAGATAAATGAAAAACATCCAATTCCTAAACTAACAAGGAATTGGAAATACACATAAATGGTAAAGTACATGGCCGCCTATAATACTAATGGGTCACGACCATGGACTATTCTTGGGTCTTGTATATTGGTTATGGTCCATCCACATAATTGTCCATAACAAATATGCATTATAATTTTTGAAGAGTCTTTAAATTTCTTATGTCAAATGAATGAGGAGAACAATGAAATTCATTTTCTTTCCTAAATGTGTACAACATTTATAAAGAAAGATAAACAAAAATATTTTCATAAAATTTTGGAAGAAATAATAAATAACAAGTATTTGGTCATTAGTTAAAAACTTTAAAACCAGATTTTTAATAATAATAAAATTAGAGAAGTCTTTATTTAGAAATAGGGAATATGAATGATATGCAATGTCCAGTGAAATTAAAAGATTTGGTCATTTAACGAAAAGATAATGATTTAACTTTTCCTTGGACATACCATGTTGTTTTTGTTTGTAAGACTTCAAAATACTTCAACCACTGAGCCAAAATAATTTTTGGTAATAAAACAAGTAAATTATTATATATGGTAACCAAACCTTCCTATAATATATGAACTGAAAAAAAAATGAATTTATAAAAAGACATTGTTTGGAAAAACACTAATTCTTTTCCCACCCACAGAGGTAGCATTAAAGAAATAAAAAATTATTTACACTTACTATATAGACATAAATATAAATAATATTTACTATAATCATAAGCTTGGGTAATAATTTTATGTTAGATGTGTCATTGACATCTAGAGCAAAGTTCAATGGAAGTGGATGGATGTGAATGGATAACTCTAAGAAGACGCAATTTATGGATGGATGTGAATGGATAACTCTGAGAAGACGCAGTTTATGAGGATACGAAATTTTATTCGATGGGAATCAATCTTGCATTCAAAAGTAGAAGCACTGCGATGGGCGATGGAGAACATGCTTCAACATTCAACATATCATAGCTTTAGGACAGATTGTAAGGAATTGATTGCTATGGTTAAGGAATTGCAGGCTTAGTCAAACTTTGCAACGAATTTACAGAGGATAGAGACTATGAAAATATGCTTTCCGGATTTCAAGATTACCAATGTTCCATGTAAGCATAATCAAATTTCTGATTTTTTAATTAAGAATGCTAGATTTTCCATAGAAAATTGATTTTTATCAGTTGTTAGATTCCGGTCTAATTACCCAAACCACCAGAGTAATAGAATGATCGTTCATTGTGAAAAAAGAAAAAAAAATATTATTTTGAATAATTCATTTATCAATTCTAACTGTTCTTTAAAAATATTTTTTTCAATTTTTTTTCTTTTTCGAAATTATCTTTAGTAATTTTTAAATATTAATTAATTGATTTCTTAAAATTCTAAATCCAACCCTTGCTATATTTATGATAAAATCATTTTTATTATACCGTTCTTGCTATAATTATGATAAAATTCTCTTTATAAACTGTTAGGTAGATACAAGGTTTTTTTATTTAAAAACAGCAAGTCAAAATAGCACAGTTTCCCAATTTTCATCATATAAGCTTTGATTGAGTTCAATTTTTGTTTTCTCTTCTTTCAAATAGGGTGAGTTCAATTGGAATCGGTTTTGGTTGGTTCGGTTTGAATTGGTTTAATATAAAACATATCTCTAAAAAACATGGAACATATCGACGAACGCAATCACCAGTTAAATTTTTATCTCTTACAAAAATTTGTACACATCTTCTTCTCTCTTCCCTCTCTCGCCTGCACTTACCTCTTTCAAGTTAAAGATGATTCACAAGGTTGTTAGGTACGGTGTACCTCCAAGTCTCTTTTATCGAATTCATGAGCTCTCGGCAAATCCTCCTTTGCAAGAGCCGCGGTAGAAGTAAATCTGATTAATGGTTTAATGATCTCACCATGGAGACATTAATGACTCTCTGGTAACCTGCAGAAGCAGAGCAAAAGGATGAAAGAACATATAGTGTGATCAGGATGCATCTTGAAATGTTTCAGCAACTCTCACGTATCAGAAATCTCTAGGGTTATCGTCTAATCATTTGGCAAAAGAATCTGTATCTTTTTATACTCACCGCCATGGGAACTCGCTTGTGTCTATTCCAGCTTGATGAAGCTCGTCGACGTATTGTAATGCTTCCCGGCATTCCTCTCGATCATCATAGAACTCTTTCTTATCACCTTCAAGTTGATACGCTTCATGCCCTTTCCCTGCTACCACCTGCACAAAAAAGCACATCAGTGTCAACAAAAGCTATAGTATAGACCCAAGAACACCATTATATAATATAACTTAGAAGCTGAGATTGCTCAAAAGGATTTCAATCCAGCAACCTTGATAACACACCATGGAAAGAAGAAAAGATGTACAGGGAATGGGTTTATTTGAATACTTACAACCATGTCACCTTCTTCACCCATAGCAACAGCACAACGCACAGCTACACGTCTAACATCGTGAAGGAAGAGTCTATGGCCATTTGCCAAAGGAGGATAGTAATCATGTTCTCCGTGTTTCAAATACTCTTGCATCGTCCATCCAATCCCAGCCAACATGTCATCCAATATGTCCACTGAAACCACATTTAAAGAGTTTTCTACCTGTTAATACGCCTCAAGGGTTATAGAACTCGACCTAATCTCAGCGTTGCTTACATGGATCTTCATTCCCTGGATTATCAGATGTCAACATCGTCACATCACTCTTTTCAGTAGCAATTTTCGTCATAACTGGTCTTTTCCCTCTCTCAGTCTCACCCGCACAACCAATAACTTTAACAACAACAAAAATAAGATAAATCATCAGATAACCACATACATATAAAGACCCATTAAGGCTGCATTAAACGGAAGAAAGTTTATATACCAGTAATAATTCTTCTTGGTTTAAGCTCTCGAACTGAATCAAGCAGCCTTGACAAGCCATCAGGTGTGTTAGCATGATCCACAATAACACCAAAGGCTTGTTCTTCATCAATCAACTCACACCTCCCCGGGACAGCATCCACTTCCTCAACACCTCTAACAATATCCTCAAGAGGAGCTCCAACAGCAATCCCAACAGCAACAGCAGCAAGGATGTTATAAATGTTATGCCTTCCTAACAAACCCGACGAAATCTCAAGTATACCTTGAGGGGTATTAACCAAAACCTGTGTCTCAAACAAAGAAAGCTCAAACTTTAAAGGATGAACATCAGCTTTCGTGTTCTCCATGGCAAATGTCACAACAGGAACATCAGGGCTCCCTTGCTGGACGAAAAACGCTGCGTTTGGATCGTCTATGTTAACCACTTTCCTGTGCCTCTCCGGGTCAACCATTCTTCCAAACAACTTGGCTTCAGCATCTCTATCCTCCTCACTAGTCAAGTTTGTGAAAACCGCAATGTCGAAATCAACTTCATCACATTTCCCTGAAGCAAGTTCTTGAGGAGAAGCTTCCATAACCAGAGCTTCAGTTCCATTATGCAACATCTTAGCCATCATACTCTGAACCAAAACAGCATCAGGACTCGTCGTCGTTGAATCCATTTTGTTATCACCATGGATATAACAAGAAACCGTGCTGAACATTCCTGTTCTCACGCCCATAGCTTCATACAGGCTTTTGATCAAATACGTGGTGGTCGTCTTCCCGTCAGTCCCCGTGACTCCAATCACCGCCATGTTCTTAGACGGATGCTTATAAAACGAAGAAGCTAAAGCTGCCAAGACTGCTTCAGTGTCTTCAACAATCACAAGCGCTCTACAACCTAATGTATCTTCAATGTCAATCTCTTTGCTAGCTACAACCGCCACTGCTCCTCTCTTATCAGCTTCGCTCAATGCGGAGTCTCCATCGTTCTCACAGCACACGAAGAGATCTCCGGCGCTTACGCCTCGCGAATCGTGCTGGATTCCGGTGATTTCTACGTCTAAGTCGCCGTAAACTGAGATCGGCACCACTTTGCTCTCGTCAAGAAGCTCAGCTAAGCTCAATCTGAACTTAGGCTCAACGATTCTGGCCTTTGATTCGCCGAAATGATCCAAATCGAACTCGAATTGATGATCGGATCGGATCCTAGGGTTTCCTTCCTCGTCAACCCAATCTTCCTCCGTCAGCTTAGCGATTTCTTCTAAATCCACAACTTCCTCTTCGTCGAGCTCATCAACGTCCTCGGTGACGTCACCTTCTTCCTCGTCGATGTTCTTGGACGACGCCGTTTTGGGAGGATTAGGTTGGAGCAATCCTTTTTTAACGAACTCGCTTCGTTTCATGGAGATTGCTCTGTCGATATCCGAGAACAGATCGCCTCCTGATTCCACGTCATCACGCCCCGTCTCGGGCGCGTCTTCCACGTCAGCGATGGCTGAGAGGTACGTGTTTCGGTTCTTCTCGAAGTCTTCTTCCTCTAGCTTCCGCGCGCGTGCGGCTTGACGCTGTATCTGCTGAAACTTCGAGACTCCGTGCATTGAGTCTTCCGGGGCTTCGGGCGGGTCGTCATCTGCTGGGTTCGGGTATGAGTTTCGACGAGTGGGACCCGCGGAAAGCTGAAGGTTACGGGAATTTCGGAGGATTGGTGAGTAAACCGGTTTGTAGGAGAAGGGAGAGGTGGTTATAGCTAGAGAGAGAAAGACTGAGTGAGGAGAGAGAAAAGTGAACGCCATTTGAGACACTGAGAGAGCGATGGAAGGTTTTTCGAGGGGATAAGAGTTTTGTTGTGAAACGGTGCGTGTCGAGGGGGATCAGAGACACTGATAAAACGGTGCGCTGCAAGAGTGATATAAGGGTGGATTTGAATAGGTATGAACAGGCCCGTAATCATGGCCCGCTATAATAACCCACTTACGGAAAGATAATAATTCGAATAAAAGATAGATACAATTAAGTTGTTTTGCTTCCTACTTTTGTCCAAGAGCTCTCTTTGTTTATAGATTTTTAGTTTTCAACAATTATGGTTCACTGTACAATATATTTTAAACTAGGGTCGGTCCGCGCTACGCGCGGGATATTTGCTTCGATTGGTGTTGAAACAGAACTATTTGTGTGGTCTAAGATTTTCGATAATTTGTTTGCATGAAACTACATGTCATTGGATTTTGGCATATCTATCATTGTTCTTTTGAGGTTGTGATGTTTGATTCACTTTAAAATTTTGTGTTTAGCAACTTCAAGGTTTGATTGAATTTGTTAATTGGTTTGGTTTCTTTTCATGGTTATATATAGGCATGTTTTATTTTTTTTACTTTGCGAATTAGTGAACAATAGTATGATAATTGTGATTCTGCGTTGTTGGCTTGAAATTACATTTAGGATATATGACTTTTATTGTACGTAATTTGAATTTCATTTATAGTGGAGATGATAAAAGACATGAACATTTAATTTGATTTTCATGTACTTCTATATATTTATTTATTACTGTTAAGCATATCAAATAATTTTTTCTCAAACAGGCTATAGATGCAATATGTCGGCTGACTTAGTTATGGATTTAAGTTGGTTTCAACATGATAAAATATTGGTTTTCACCCTATGGCTGATTAGGTTGCGTTTTTGGATAATTTCGGAAAATTTAGGTAATTTTGGATTAAATATCAGATAATTTTATTTTTTAGATATATATTACCTAGCTAATTCAATTCTTCTGGTTAATTGGAATAATTTAAAAATATTTATGATAAAATAACATTCGGGTAATTCGTTCGTTTCGTGTGTTTCAGTTAATAAGTAGTGTTTTAAAAATAATTGATAATTACTAAACTAATCATAACTAAAAAAAATTTTCGGTATATTAACTATACTTTAAATACTCGATAACTCATTCGGTTTCGGTTTAGTTCCGACCTTTTTCATTTTTTGTTTTTCTACTTTACAATATATGAAGCGTTTGGTTATTTCTAAAATTTGTTCCGGTTTCAATTTGATTTAAGTAACAATGTTAGGAATGTACTAATGTCTGATAAAATATTGGTTCCAATTCGGTTCTGGGTTTTCGGAAATTTTTGATGATTCGGATAATAAATGTGTTTTTGGTCATTTGGATTAAATATCAGACAATTCAGATAAATTCAGATAGTTTTAAAATATTTTGGATAAAAATGTTAGGATAATTCTTCTTTTTTCTGGTTGTGAGTTTATAAGTAGTATTTTAAAAATATTTGGTAATTTTAAAACTAAAAATATTTGGTATATTTCTTGGTTCAGATTCGGTTTGGGATTTTTTTGATTCCATATATATGTGAACTGTTTGGTTATTTGTGAAATCAATTCGAATTTGAATTCATTTTTTTTTTCTGTTTTGGTTTGGTTATCAGTCAATACTAAAATAAATTAATACTAAGTAAGGATAATCACTATTCAACTTATTTTGTGGAATTTTATATCTAAAATTTTTACACAGCTAATTTTTTTATATTTTTTGAAAATATATGAACCAATTTTTTGTATTCATCTGCTACATTTTGTGAATTTTTCCAGAACTTTGATCATGGCTTTTAAATTCTCGAATTGCTATTTAATCAATGTCTCTGTCCGTGTTACACATCCACCAGAGTTGCTTATTCAATATCTAGTACCTGGTGTGCATCTTCTAAGTCTTGGATCCTACTTTTTGATCGCTTGAGTCCAACTCAAGTTAGGTTTTTTCCCTTGAACTCAAACACCTGTTTTTCAGCATCCTCATCTTTGATCCTTTGCCTCTTTTCCAAGTATTGAGTCTTAGATTTTGACGGTTTAAGTTGCAACCCAAGTTGTGATTTACGTCTCTGCAACTCACTCACCTCTTATGATACATCTTTTATATTATTTGTTCTTCTCAATAAGTGCTCTCTGTCTCTGCAGCTCAACAGCCAGTTTTGCTTAGTCATATTTTACCTTTTGTCTTTGCTATGAAACTTGAGTGTAGCGTTTGTTTGTTTGAATTACGGCTCAAACTGTGATTTTTTTCTTTTGGGATTCTGTTTTTTGATTAACTTAGGAAATAGTGTAAGAGAAGTGTGTATAAGCAATTAGCAACTCAGAAGTACATCACGTAATAGTTTGCTCGTTGTGCCTTAAAAGCTGTTTCAATTGTTGAGAGGTCACAAGAAAACTGAAACATGAAGTCTTTGAGTCTATGTGGCTTTTTCAGATCTTGAAGATATTAGCACAATAATAATGTATAATACTAAAGAAGACAAAATAATAGTTAACTGGTGTTACTGTTTAGTTTCTTTATCAATAGTAATCGAGCTTCCTCCTTTCAGAGTGTACTTTTATTTCGTTAGAAGAAATAAAGGTAACACTATATTGGGTTTAAAAATGGAGATACGAAGCAAGCCATAGATGATTGCGTAAAATCAGTTTTATGATATTTCTCATTATCCACTATTTAGAATATGAGAATCAACACGCAAATGGAATAAAAGACGTATATTAATTATGGAAGAAGAAGCGAACATGGTTCTTATATCATAAAACTTGATGGCGGAAACTAAACATGGTAGAAAATTCATAAAACTTGAAGAAAAAATATCATAACGCCAAAGATGGTTAAACTAAATATTAGGGTCTTCCGTTCCATCACCTAAGCAACTAATTCGTGCGTGTTTTCTAGTGCGTTTCCTGCTGCTGGAACCAGTTGTTTCTCTGCATTGCTTCAGCCAGAAGTGGGTTGCTCTGCAGTGACTGTTGCATTCGATGCGCCAGGGTGGTTTGAGAGGTTGTCATCACCTCTGGTGATCTGAACAGTAGCTGTTTTCTCACCATCTGAGCAGTTGCAGGTGATACATGTGGCAGAAGGCATATCACCTCCAGGATAGTTGTGATTTCCTGTTTTAAATGAAAACGTTAAATCTTCATCCTTCATGCCAATAAAGAGGTGTGCTTCCAAAGGCTGTTTCAAATCAGAATCTTTTTTTTTCTTGCAGCTCCAGAGATTGTTTCCTTACAGATTACACCATCAAATCCATCATCTCTTTGTATTCCTTCCACTGAAATGAGAAGTCTAGAATCCCAGAAGCGGTCTTTGTCACCTGACTCAAGAATGGTCTACTAAATCCTCGTCCAACATCACACTAAGTTCAGTCCCATCAAACAAAAACAGTAAAAACTAAGAAATCAAGAGAAACCAAACACTGTGGCTCTAAGAGTAAGAGACTTACTGATGTTCAAGATCTTCGGTTGGCAACGACGGACACTGGATCCTGCTCCAGCGTAACTCGTGGTGGTGATGACTCTTGTTCGTAATGATCTAGATAATATGTTCTGTTAAAATGAAGCAAAAAATAATAATCAAAACTTCAAGACTGGCTCACGAAGAATAAGAAGCTATAAAGTCTGATGAAAAAGAGTTTCCTTTAGCTATACTGAGATAGAAGAAGATGAGAAAGATAATCAACAAACGGTCCCAACTTTTTTCATTCAAAAAAGGTTCAATAAAGATATGAACACAATAGGTTGATAATTTAAGTTAAAAATGCTGGAATATTTTTAAAGAAAATAATACACATCATCGTGCCACAGCTTTTCACATTCCTCGCAATCAGATCAGCAAGGAGAACAGATGAGTTAGCCATTAGTCTGCAATTAATTTTTTGAATTATCACTGTGAAGATGATGTTTAAGGGATGAATGGAGAAAACACTGTTTATCGAAAGAGATCATTACCCATGCCGAAAGAAATCGAATGATGCAAAGAGAAAATAAAATCAAACGACTTACGCAACGTAGTGGAGAGCCTTGCGTGATTAATCACGAAATTTGAGAGGAAGTGAAGAATCGCAGGAGAAAATGTTGGAGAAAACTGATAGACGGCTCCGTTCTTTTCTCACGAGCTTAGGTTTAACAACTTTTGGGCCAATGACTATTCGAAGTCCATTACGTAGACAATAAAAATAAGCCCATAAAATATGTCCACATGGACTTATCTACGTGGCGCTGATGTGGAGGCCTTCAGAGGAGAGATTACATTCTTTTATATAATAGATAACTTAAGAAAAACGTTAATCCATGGATTCGGCTTCAAAATTTATACATTTAATAATACCGTATTCATGTTTGCTAATTCAAATTGAATGGTCTAAATATTGTTTATTTCTCATCAACAAATCATCTGATTATGATTAACAAAGGAAAATATATTGAAAGAACACATATCCTGATCTTATTTATTATAACTACAACTGTCTAGGTGGAAGCCCAACTAGTTATTTATGAAGACGATATCAACAACAGTTAGTCTGTGTCCTAAACAGCATCGATTTTGTTCCTAACAAAAATATTTGAATATTTTAGGTCCTATGAAGACAATATTTTTTTTTTTAGTAAATAACTAGTTGGGCTTCGTTTAGCTATTTGTTCTTAACAAAAATCGAATCTAGTGTAGACAGGTTTACGCCTCATTTTTAGAACATTTTTAATTTTACTCCATAATTTACTGTAAAATTAGTAGAAAAAAGAGTGATGAAAAAATAAAAATTTCATTACTTTATATTTCACACTCTATTTTATAGTAAACTAGGGCCAGTCCGCGCTACGCGCGGATTGTATATTTCAATTGGTTATCTTTATTATTTATTTTATGTTTTTGTTTATTATTTTATATATATATATGTTTATAATGTATTTTCTTGTGCTTATAATATATTTTTATAATAATAAATTTATATATTTTTTATTTTAAGTAAAATGTACCTCTTATTTAAAAAGCAAATGCCATACAATAGGTAAAACAAATTTTGGAAAAAATGTTTTAAG